GCCGCGCATCCCAAGCCCACAGGGGCTTGTGATAAGGCCTCGTCGATGGTCCTCTGCAATGACGCCTGTTGAGTGGCCGTCACCTCGGCTAGTCCGATCGTAGCTAATCTCGGACCAGCCTCCAAGCTAGCTACGTCTAGCTTCATTTTGGCTTGTGATTCCTTGAACAGCAACGTATTGTCGTCGGGGTCAAGTACCGCTCTGAACAATCTGACGAAGTTCACTCCTAAAATACATTCCTCGACGAGGGTTGGGAGGATAGCTACCCTTGACGGCATCGTCATCTCCCTTACAGTGAACGGTAACCAGGCGTGACCAACGATCGTCAACTTACGACCATCGGGTAGCCCTGCCGTACCCGCGTGGGTAGTATCTAATCTGACGCCTAGCACAGACGCTATCTGCAGAGCATTGCTACCCATCGCCGTGGTGGAAGCTCCCCGATCATAGAGAGCCCGTAAGCGGAAATCTTCTATTTTCACCGGTAGCCACCAGCACGTTTCCTGTACCGGGGAATATTGGGAAACAGTTTCGGCGACTCCACGGCTCTGCTCCTTGCATACCATAGCGCTAGCCACTGTGCTCTCATAAGATAAAGCGACGTCACTTGCCGTTCGAACCACCTCGGTTCGAACGACCGGAGTTTCCATAGGGTTACCCTTTGACGGTTTATCTGCCGCTACCCGCGCCCCCGAGGGCGTGTGCGAACCATTCGCCACCACCTCGGCCGGTCTAGGGTCTTGGGCTTTACTAACGTCATTACCCTTTCTCTCCGCGTTCGCTCTATCGCCATGTTCGTCATCGGCGTTACCAGGGGAGATCTCGCTCTCATCGCTCAACACGCTCGCTACTAATGGCGCAGACCGTGTTGACGAAGGCCGCGAGATCTCGTTAACGGGGTTTGGGTCGGGGAACGAAGGAGTGGGGTCAACCCCACCTAACCACTCCTTTGCTCGTTTCCCTTATTACATTGGGGACAGTACTTCCTGCAGTACCCCAGTAAACCACACTCGACGCATTTGAGTGGTTTAGTGAAATCCCTGTCTCCTCTGCGAGGAGTCTCCGGCTTCTTAGCTCGATCCTCGGAGGTCAGGTTTTTGCATGCGTGATTATTCTTTATCCCCTCCGATATCTCCTTGAGAGACAGCAGTATACTCGGCTCAATACATCGGTGGGTGGGGCCTTCTTCTCGCCATCGACCGCCTCCAGTCTCGGATTAGGTATCGCCCCCGAGGGCGTCGGCGTGTAGACGACCTGGTGCGTCACCTTCTCGAGTACCTTCTCCATGCGGTCCAATCTGTCACTGACCTCCGGTTTGTCGCCGGACATGGCTGCCACTTTGGTCTTACGGTCCTTGCTTGCATCGGCGCGAGGGTGGTACGCTAACTCCGGGTATAGAGTTGACTGAGGGTCTGGTACCACCCGTTCTAGCCTTCGCTGATGCCAGCTATTCTGGGCCGCCGTGGCCAGGGCGTTCAGGATCTGTATGGAGTCCACTTCGGACCTCCGTATTTGACCCTGAATATCCGGGAGAAGGTTGGCGTGTAGCAGGTCCAGTTGACTATCGTGCGCCATCTTAGGGTTCAGCCGATTCATCAAATCTGCGTAGGAGAGCCATTCCTCCCTCATCGCCTCGCACCAGACGAGGGCAGGACCGACGAGTAGCTCGGATACGGCTAGGAGCATCTCATCTTCCGTGAGTCCTGCGCTACTCCTCGAGTTGTCCAGTCTTGACAAGAAGGTGTCGATGCTCGCATTGCCCTCTCCAGAGAACCTGAGTTTCCATCCTCGAACAATGCGACCGACGTCCCTTGTTGTCGACCACGGGTTTGATGTCTGTTGGGATGACCACGTGCTCGGCGGGTGGTTGTCCACTTCAGCATTAACTCCACGGAGTTGATTCTGTCCACCCTCTCCGAAAGGGAGCGTCCGGCGGGGGGTCCTGTCTGTGGCCCCCGTGGGCCTCTGTCCGGGTCCAGCTGGAGTGCACTGGGGTAGCCTGGTGTCGTAATGGTACGTGAAGGTGTCCTGGAATGCTACGCTCCTACGCGTGTTCTCCTGATGCCGCGCTTCGCTGGAACTATTCGCATTGTCTTGCCGTATATTTCTGTTTTCGGCATTTTCCAATGCGTTCATTCTGGCGGACAGGTCGTCTAGTTGGTCCTTTACGTTGCTGCAGTTACTGTAAATCTGGTCTAACACTTTTGTTAGACTCGACACATTCACTTTTAGTGAGTCTAGCAGCTCAAGCTTCTTCTCATTTTCTCTGGACCGGAAAATGAGGTCTTGGATCATCACAGCAAATGCCGTCGGGAATTGGAACTGGCTGCCATCATCAGCTGTTATCGTAATACACTTATTACTGTTCGTGTTCTCGCCGTCGTCTAGAATACTTGTGATGTTTATCGCTGTTTCTTGTACTCGCGATATTACCTCCGCACTCTGCATTAAGTGGGCTAGCGGGTGTTCCCCCTCTTGCTCGGATGCTGTGTGTTCCTGGCATAGGGATACGATTAGCTCCGAGCGTAGGGCGGCTCTTTTGGCTGGACTGCTTTGCTGGTTGTCGACTTCCGCGAAATCCGTCGCGGAGTAGTCTCCAAGCAACCAGCTTTGCAGACGTCCAGCTCTCGAGAACTTGTTCCCGCTTGTTTTGAGCTCCAGGTGTTCTAGGTATTCGTCGATTTCCTCCTCCTGGAGCGTCAACACCCAGTTTTCTACTTCTGTTTGAGTGCGGTCCATTTTCTTCTGTTAGTTGTTTGCGGTTTGTTTCACGCGAAATTTACATGCTTATTACGCATGGTGCGAGTACGAGTGTTGTTTTAAAAAAATCGTACGCAAGTAGAAAAATTTTATTAGCCGATACTAGGCTCGATCAAGGGCGTTTAATACTGTGTCTGCCGAAAGACTCTTCGCTCGTTATTACGCAATATAATGATCCTACCTATCAGGCGCGCTAACTGTTTGTTAGCGCGGCTATGTGAGTTAGTATCTAATATTATAACGAGCGACGCGCGTAATCACCAATTGCAGCGAATAATATTAAAAAAACATTTATTTTAAGACAACACGATATTTAATAAAATTATCAAATTGAATTAATTTCGTTTGAAAGTTGCCGGTGTTAGTTTTCCCTGGGCCAACGGGTACAATATTATTGACTTGCAGCAACTTTCAAAATTTATTGGTGTTTACGCTTCTAAGAGTTGTTTGGTCGCACTCGCACGCCCTTACAGTTAATGTTTACAATTTTACGCCTCGGCGGGCCTTCGCAACCTAACTAAGAGGCTATGTTTACTGTTGTGGCCTTCGATATCAAGTGTGCACAACAACACTTGATTGCCACCTAAGTCGCTGGTTGACTGAGCGCAAGGTCACTGTTAAGAACCGGTGTTTTGAATAATCAGAAACACCATAGGTTCTTTTACGTTGGGCGCCATGGAATGGGGTTGGGTTACTACCGTTTAATTATTTTTATTCGGATGATCGCGTAGATAGATGCGCGTAATCACCTATATTAAATAAGAAAGTCGGAGAGCAAGAGGGAACGAGTGTCAGTCAACCAACAAATCTACAGGAGTGGAATCGATACGGAATAAACACGTCGAAAGCACTGGTTAATATCACGAACGAAAATTCTTTATTGTCCTCTCTGAATGCTACACTAGAATTGGCCCGCGTGTTTATGTCTACGGTAGCGCTCGCACGACGACAACATACAGTGTCGGATCGCTCGCCGCTCTTTGTTAGCATAGCTATTACATGCACGCTTCGCTTCGAATATGGAAAATTAATTAACATGCATGCAATCGCGGTCGCGAGATTAAGCTGGCCAGCTTACCTTTATTTTGCAGACGCACGAAGACGAAGGGAACAATCCGCACTGCGGGAAAATCTGTTTGTTCTTTTTGTCGCGGATCGCGAATTCGCGCGCACGTGGCTTCGCCCTCGATGGTGAAACCTGACACACACAAACTCTTGATGCCGTAGGTAACGATGCTGCTTTTTCAGCTGGCTCAGGTCTGCACGCCGTGTAGCTCGGTGACAATTATCCTGGACTCTGGGACACGTATCGGCAATTAGTTCGCGAACCTCGAATTTTGTGGCTTCCGTACCGGTAGCTGGATCTCAACTGGTTCGTTTTCAATCACGCATGTTCCGTCTTCTCGCGTGCCGAATTCCGTTGTTACATATTTCGTCTCCCGATAAGTGCTGCCCCCGCAGGCAGCCACTTGATTAGGCAATTAGCGCTAATTTGACGTTTACCGTCACAATAGATGAAATGATTAGCAAGAAGGAGAGCAAAAGCAAAGGAAAGGCAAAGGTGAAAAGGCAAAAGAAAGTAATAAAGGAAAAACTGAAAAGAAAATATGCAAGAAAGAGAAAAATAAACAGAAGAGTGGAAAAGGCAGATCTTGGAGAGAGAAAGAGAAAGAGAAGATTAATCAGAAGAAAAATGAGAAGAAAAGAGGAACAGACAGCCGCAGAAGACAGGGACACAAGAGTTGCAGACACACCTACAAATGCACGTATTTATACAACACACACACACACACACACACACACACACACACACACACACACACACAAAACACATACATAATCAACTACACAAACTGGATACGAGACACAAATAGCAATATAAGAAATGTAAACCAAATGTAACATATAAGTTGTAAATAAATAAACTACCTATATATAAAGGTAAAAAATTTTATATTCGATTTTAATTTATTTTAATATTAAGGTACCGGATTATCATACAGAAACTCTTCTGATGAGTCACATATTTAACGTAATAACGTATATATAATTACTTTGTAATTTTGTATATTAATATTCTAGTTTGAAAAATTAATAAAGTTAATTTTTAAATAAAACAATATTCAATATATCTAAGCCAAGAAAGCTGTCATTATTAATAAATTATTCTTTTGTATTTTTATTCAATTACATAATATGAATTCACTTTTTCGTAAAAAATAATACTTCTTTCATTATAGGATACTCGGAGTAATCACGTAAGCTTTCCGGAGCCAGATGATTGTAATATTGATGACATATCGAGGACAAGTAGAGGTAAGTACCTTAATTACCAATAAACATATCCTGTGTTCCGGTTTGTTTTCATGTTATTTTATAAGGAGAAATCTCACGTGTCCGCGCTAATAGCGAAGGTTTTTAGAATAAAACGGATTGAATAGTATGAAATAACATTATATTCTATAGCGTGAAAGCAATAAAATTAGCAAAAATACTGTAAATCAAATAAATGTGTTGAATAAAGTCCGTTAGTTGGATTTATAATTTTTCCTTTTTTTCTTTGTTCTGACTCTGACATTCCCTTTAATAGTGACTATGCCTCAGTTTCTTTATTTTTAATGTTGTGGATTTTATGTGGTTCCTCCTGTATGCAGCAACAATTGTACGAATGTGCCATTCTTAGCCAATCATACTTAGCACAAGTTCGTCGTGAGATTGGCGAAATAAACGGCAATTATAAAATAAGAATACGTAGAAATGCCGGTTGTACTTTTGGGTTAGATATTTATTTCTCAAAAGCAGTTACTTATTCAACACTTATCGAAAGAGAGTTGAACTATTTGGTTGTAATGTTCGAGCTAACTTGACTATCGTTGACAAAAAAAGCACCGCGGAAGCGCTAATTTTCCTACTATGGCTCATCGTAAGTTAGGGAAATTAAATATTTGGCACGTGGAGATAGTGCTTCCGCTCTTGTTGACGTTCATGCAAATGGATTTATTTTACGTCTAACGTGCGCTCGCAAATTAGGTGTGATTTTTTGCAGTATAATTAATTTCGCCTGCCTCTGCCGCTCGACTTCGTGAGAAAACTTTTTTAATAGCTCTCTCACAGAATCAGTGACAAAGACATACAAATTTACGGTATCCTTCTGTCGATCTTGCCTGTGTAAATCTTATCCCTGTATAGTACTATGGTTTACAATGTATAGTACTATGGTAAACAATCATTCTATTATTAAAATGATACCAGAATATGTGCGATATATGGTATTTGATAAAATATTAGGAAATTATTTAGTTACATATTCGAACCATTAAAATGTTATTTCTTTTTAAAATTTATAAATGAATTCTCTAATCAAATTCTAACATTAAATTATATCTTATAATATTATTATGTTTTGACTCATCAATTTTGAATGCAAAAAACAGGATTGTTCGTAGGTGATCACTTTTCTCTTTTTCTTAGATTTGTTTATTTTGAGTAAGTATAAGTTTAAAGTCAATAATGATAATAACGAATTCTAACCTATTGACTTTGTGTTAAATAATTTTCGATTTTATTTAATAAAGTAATTATAATAATAAAAAAAATAGAATTTGATGGTATCAGGAAAAATGCCTCGAAATCGAAAATCTCAAGTTTTAGATGATCATATCGCTGCAATCACTCCAACCTTCAATAATACATTAAGAATCAGTTCTTATTAATTTAGAAAGTTCGTTTGATCTTCTTTCCGTTGTTTACTATTTGTGGACGGAGATTCGTAATTTACCCTCAGTAGCTTATAACGCATTCATGCTGCCAGCAACTAACTTTACTTCAGTACCCAGTCAGAGACTTCGAAATCTTATTTTGGACACGGCGCAGATATTCGCAAAACGTGAACTTAATGCCGATTTACAGTTTGAGATATGTAGTGCATAGAATACTCATGATTGTGTCGCTTTCAATTGTCACCAGAAGCTTCCATTAAGACCATGACCGAGATCATCGCCAATAGTTCGGGTGCCAGAGGGAGGTGTTGAATATACATGTTTAGGTCCCCTCGGTAACTTGACGTTATTCTATATTACAAGTTTTTTGGTTAAGCACAAAAGTTTTTTATTTTTAAGATATTCACAATTTTACAATTTTTAATTAACAATTAAAAGAATTAGCTGCTTTTCCATTTTTTCGACTACTAATTAAAAAAATCGGATAAATTTGATCCTGCTACTTAATTCCAGAGGAAAAATAATATAAAAGCCACCTTTCATATTTAAAATAGAGTTATCATTATTATTGCAAAACTGAAAAAATAATAAATGGAGCACTTTTGCGGTCGCTGCATGCTACAGGTATATATGCTTACCGCGTCCTACCTTACGAATCCCGTGTTACGATCTATTTCTTTATTTATAATTATTATAAAAAATAAACGCATGCAATGTAACAAATACACTTCGAATATCATTCATCGACGTCTCTTACTTCTTTATTACCATCAATTTAAATACTATTTGATCTTTTAATGTATGTTGAGTGAAAATAACACAGGCCGACAAAATTTGATGAAAGTCCAAACCCAGAGACGAGACATACTGTACCAAAAGGAATTTGATGCGCTGAATCCGAATCTGGCCTCAGTATTGCTCCATCACCCTAGGTTCCCGAGATATCCTAACCTAAAAGTGCAAAAAACACTGTTTTTTCCATTTTTTAAGGTTACATAGCATCTTGAATAAATTTTTTTTCAAAAAACGGGCAACAACATCATAAAGGAGCACTCTTGCCCTGTGAAGTCCATTTTTCAAATTTCAGATAGCTTTTTTCTCATCGAGATATCATTGATTGAAGTTAAGTATTTTCGTAGTTTCGTAACAACGCTAAAACAGCCTATATTGCATATGTGAGCCTATAAGCCCAATTTAAAAGTAATCGTTTTCGATTGAAAAGATCTATTTATAGGTTTTTGAGGTTGCTAATTAAGAATATGAGGTCAGATTTTGAAAATTTAAAATGGCGGATCCAATATGGCGAATCTAAAAATAGAATTATAAATGATCGTATTCGACTGAAAAAAATTTGAACATAGGTTTTCAGGGTTGCTGATTACGAATATACGGTCAGATTTTGAAAATTTAAAATGGCGGATCCAATATGGTGAACTTGATGTTTTATAAGTGAACGCATTCATACGAAAAAATATATAAATGTGTTTTTGGGGTCGCTGATCACGAATACGAAGTCATATTTTGAAACTAAGGCGACCCGAAACCCTATAACCTGAGAGCCCATAATCCCAAATTCCTTCCTCCCGAATTCTGTAACCTGCTAGACTATAACCCAGCCCCGAACGCTGTAACGCCCGAACTATGAAACCCTAATTTCCTTAACCCCTGGACTTTGTAAACTGCTGTACGGTAAACTCCAACCCTGAACTTTAAGAATCGACGGGTTTGTACTTAATCTCAATACTTGAAACTCAAGAAATCTGTGCACTTTACTCCTACGACACTGAACATAAAAAACCCCATAACTCAATAACCCTGTAACTTGCTAGACTATAACCCCGAACCTTGTAACCTGCGATGCTATAATATCAAACTCTGAACCCCCGAACCCTGTAACCGGCGGGGCTACAACTCCAATCTTTTAAACCCTGTTAACAATGACGGTAGCGTTGGCTCGGATGGAAACAAAAAGGGAGCTGAAGCAGCTGGGGTTCTTGCTGGACACGAAGCCGACCATCAGGGTAGAGAAGTACCGGAAAAGACTGGTGGACGTTCAAAGACGAGTCGTCCTGCGGGTAGCAAGTGCCTACCAGACGGTGTCTAAAGAGGCTATCTTTGTGGTTGCGGGCGTTATACCTGTTAATCTCTTAGCCATGGAGCGTAAGAGGATATGCGAGAGACGTAGAAACAGAAATAGGATAGAGCAAGAAAGAGAGAGAACGATAAAAGCTTGCAGGAACATTAGGCGTTGGACGGCAAGGGAGCCTGGACGCGGCGACGAGTTCGCGACTTAGAGGCATGGATAGAAAGAGGTTTCGGAGAAGTGAGAAAACTCTGTAACCTGCTATACGTGATACTCCAACTCTGAACCTCAAGAACAGACGGTGTCACACTTAACCTCAAAACTTGAACCTCAAGTAATCTGTGCATCTTACTCCTTACGATGGTTACATGAAACCCCAAAAATCCTGGGCACCTTACCCTTACGACTGGTTAATCTCAAACCATAAGAACTCTGGGCGTCCTCATAGACTTTAAATGGTTAGCCGTACAGATGTTTTTAATAACTTAATTCCTAATGAATTTGAAGCCAGACCTGCTGATTATTTTATGAAAGCGTTTCTGTTTTATTTCGAAAGATCTTTGTAAAGATTTGCGTTTATGACTCACTGGATTCTTCTTAATGACCTTCTCTCTTATTGACCAACAATAGTCTGCCATAATTTTTTCATCACACCTACCTTGATAGTGCTGTTCTTTTTTATGGAAATCTTGATGAAACCGTTCGCCCATTTCTTCACTAAAAGCATTAATATTATCTGGAAAGTAATCTAAATGTGATTTGAGAAAATGCAATTTTACACTGATCAAACATTTCAGTTTTGCATAGTTTTTCAACATAGTTGACACTATACTCTTATATTTAAGATCTCGGTTGTTTCCTAACAAATTTTCCGTGATATCTTTGAAGCTTCTCCAAGCAGCCTTTTCTACTGGAGTCATAGTTTTTTCAAACTCAACATTGTTCATGAGTTTTTTTATATCAGGCCCGACAAAAATGCCCTCTTTCACTTTGGCATCGGATAGTTTTGGGAATGCTATTTTGATATATTTATTGTTTCATCAAACCTAATTTAATATGAAGTTGTGGTAGCAATATTTTCTTTCTATTAACAAGGCTTTCTTTAACAACGTTCTGAAAATTGATTCTCCATTCTTTTCTTTCAGGCCATTTCTCAGTTTTCTAATGATTTCCTCTATCCCGGCTTTTCCACAAACAAAGGGAACATGAATAATTTGTATATCCCATTTACAGGCCCACTATAAGATTAATTATTTAAAAATCTCCACAAATAAGCCATCCATGAGTCTTACATTGTATCTTATCGAGCAGTAATTGAAAGTTCTCGTATGATTCTTTGAGAGAAGTTGAGTGACCGATTGGAAGAGCTGTATATTTATTTCTATTGTGCAATAAGACAGCTTTCAAACTTTCTCTGGAAGAATTAATGAACAATCGCCAATCTTCTGGTTTATATAAATTGTCTACGTAGGAATTATCAAGTCCTTCAATGTCATTACAATAGACTAATTCCT